AATTTGTAAACGTCTAAAAAAACACTTTAATGAAATTTTTAAATAAAAAACCTCCAATTACTTAATTACTTAACTTGTTTTATTTACCTGTACCTATTTGTTCATTTAGTCATATCAAAGATATCTAATAATGGAGGCATGTGTACCTACATAGAAGTTTATATTTCGGGTATCACATCAATTAAAACTGATCTTCTGAATGAATAAAAAACGTACAAAAAGTTGATTTATTGATAAATTTGTCGTACACACTTAGTTTTAAATCAATGCATTGTATTTAGCACCTATACATGCGCTATACAAAATTTAGTTTTTCTGATGAAACACCTAGCTAATGCTTTTTTTACTGGAAACCAACTGGTAAGCCATACAACATCGTAGAAATCCTTCGGAATGCGTGCAATTTTGCAATAATACTGACAATCCATACGTACGAGTAAATCGCCGCAATCAAAAGGGAAATTGCCGCAATCAATAGAGAAATCGTTGCAGTCAATACATAAATCACCGCAGTCACGGGAAATCTGTCGGAAGTCATGTGGAAATCACCGCAGTCATCCAGAAATCGCCGCAGTCATCCAGAAATCGCCGTAGTCATCCAGAAATCGCCGCAGTCATCTAGAAATCGCCGCAGTCATCCAGAAATCGCCATATGATTGCGGAAATCATATGAATTCGGCAATACATGTACATTTTTACAAAGAGTGATTTGCCCCTCGGGTTATTAAGACAAATTAACTAATTTTAAAATAATATATGACTTTTAATAATTTTTAAAATAAAATAAACGAAAAAAAAAAGTTTTCTCCATCCGAGAATCGAACTCAAGTCTTCCGTGTGGAACGCAAGAACGCATTCCACAAGACCACCTATTCTTTTATTGTTGTTGCTTTAATACTCGTAATTAAATTGACTTTATATAGTTTTATTTAAATTAACAAATTATTTATAATTATAGACGAAATAAAAACAGAAATGCTATTATTTATCGATTCTACACAAGAATAATTAACCTATTTTAATGTATGTTTAATCTCAATAACTAAAAAATATGCTGACAATTAGTTTGACAGAATTGTCACTTATTTAAAATAATAGCTGTCGTTTGATTAAAATATAACCGGTGATTGGTGAATTTCATTTTTTTGCAGTGTTCTTACTACCTAGAATGGATATAAAATATATTCGTTCAGTTGAAGGCAATAGCATACTTTTTCGTTTTGTAATTTGTGCGTAGATAAGCTAATATCCATGTGGGTGTAGAAAAAATATATTTATATAGGCAGTAGAGTACCTACGGAATTTTGAATTAAAACCTATGCCATATTTTAAGGCTATTTTTATATCTTATTCAAAAATGTTATGCTCCTCGTTTTCTGCAAAAATCAAGGTGGTCTGCTAGCTTCGAACAAAGTCAGAGGTCAGAGCACCTCAGTTTTTGTAAGTTTTTTTTTTCTAATAACCACCATATTGTTAGACTTTTGAAATATTATAAAACTTTAAAAAAAATTGATATTTTAAAAAATATAGGGTACTTTGCTAGCTTCGAACGAAGCCAGCAGAGCACCTCAGTTTTTTAAAGCATTTTTCTAAATCAACCACACCCCATTTTTAAGCTATTTTTAGGCTCTTGAAATATAAACCTTTCCAAAAAAATTTACTATTTTTTTGTTGGATCAAAGTCACCAGAGCACCTTTCTGAAAAACTACTTATGCTACATTTTTAGGCTCTTGAAATATTATACTTACAACTTTTCTAAAAAAAATTAATATTTTTTAATAAACACAGGTTGCTTTGCTAGCTTCGAACGATGTCAGCAGAGCATTTCGTTTTTTTAAAGATTTGTTCTAAAAACAACGACCACACCCCATACTTAGGCTATTTTTAGGCTGTTGAAATATTAGAAAACTTTTCGAAAAAAAATTGTTATTTTTAAATAATTTCATGTTGCCTTTTTGGAACAAAGTCAGCATATTACCTCGGTTTATTATTTTTTTCCGAAAAAAACTACGCCACATTTTTAGGTTATTTTTAGGCTCTTGAAATATAAAGCTTTTCGATACAAATTGCTATTTTTTAAATATGGTGCGCTAACTAAACGAAACCAGTGGGACATGTTGAGCTTTTAAAGGGTGTTCTAAAAACAACTATGCCACATTTTTTTGGTCTTGAATTTAAATAAATCGTTAAAAAAAATTGCTATTTTTAAAAAATACCTGCTTTGCTAGCTTCGAACGAACTCAGCAAAAAAACCATGTTTTTCCAGTTTTTTTTTTTAAATAATTGTACCTCATTTTTAGGGTATTTTGGCTCTTGAAATAAGTATGTTGAACGTTTCGATAAAATTTGCCTGTGCTATATGTTTTAAAATTAACATTTTTTTAATAAAGTTTTCTAATTTTTTTAAGATCTTAAAAATAGCCTAAAAATGTGGTATATGTGTTAAAAAAAAACTTTGAAGTCAGCAATGAATCGCGTACCTTTTAAGAAAAATGGCAAATTTTTCGGAATGTTTTATATTTCAGGAACCTAAAAATAGCCATAAAACGTAGTGCGGTTTTAAAAAACAACGAGATACTCTTCTTGATTCGTTCGAATCTAGAAAAGAATCCCGTATTTTTAAAAATAGCAGTTTTTTCGAAAAGCTTTATAGTGTATCAAGAACCAAAAATAGCCTAAAAATGTGACATAAGTAGTTGTTTTTATATTAAAAAAACCGAGGTGCTCTTTTGACTTTGTTCCAACAATCGGGATGGTAGCGTAGGTGTCTACGGCGCTCGCATTCATTTGCTAAGCAATTTTGTGATGAGAGTATCCCGGCTTCGAATCCTACAGAACACCATGTGGATTTATTTGCATGGTTCGCTATAGGATTTGATGGATGCCGTGTTAGCAGAAATTTGATATGGCATCCAGGTTATAAAAATGTCATGCGTTACCGTTTCGATGATGGTGGGTGGGGTTTACCGGGTTTTCCTTACCTGTAAGTCAAATGATACCATCAATCATCTTTAAGTCGCCCCGGAGCGCCACGTCAAATCATAATATCCGTCCCTTCCCCTACACAAGTGGCTCAGTCGGCTTCAGGGGTTGAAATTCACTCGTAAGGGGGTGAATTAGGGAAAGTATAATTATTATTATTACATTAAAGCACACTGCAATTTTTAAAAATAGTAACTTTTTAGAAAAGTTTTATAATATTTCAAGAGACTAAATATAACCTAAAAATCCAATACACTTCAAGCTGCTTTTTTATTAAGCCTTTAAGTAAGAACGTCGCCTATACGCTATTCTTAAAAAATCCGAACGTCGCGTATAAGCACAGTTTAAAGAATATACATTTTTTTATCTATATTCTTTAAACTGTGGTATAAGCGACCCAAGAACCTAGGGAAAGACTTAGGTAAAAACTGATATAGGTGGCAACGCCGCATGACAACTGATCACGTACTTTATAATGAGCAAGCCTCTAGCTCTGTGGAGCACGCAAATTGATTTCGCCAGGCAACACTGCAAAACATACAAATTGTTTTAAAATAGGACTGGCGAATAAGCGACAATAGGCATATAGATAGATGTGTATAAGCACAAAAAATAATTTCGGCCAGCACACGTGCTTAGAAAAAATTCTATCTGCAGAGGGTTAACTTTCACCGTCAATTTTATTAGTATAACAATAAGTTCCAACCTTAATTCCAACATCCTCTTGTGTTTTTTTTACTTTTATAGCAGATATAAGGGAGATAAAGATAGGAAATGCTCATAAGAAGCCAATCTTTAACGCAGTTAACATCTGACCCACTATGTGGCGCTTTCATCAATATCAAACAACGCAGCAGGAAATTTAAAAACCTGATAATAAAGGTTGTATAAATATCGACTGCACTCTCACGTTCTGCTAAATAAATTTAAACAATGTAATTACGCTAAATTATTTATTAAAAAGAATACCACACTTACAGTGTATTATCGGTTAATTATTGTAAATCTATTCATGACAAATAATTTTTAATTTTTGATCGTTATTTGTAACATTAACATTTTTTTTTTATTTTCCAAACGAATGGACAATGGTGTCTTATTTAAAAATGTTGAGTGCTAATTCAATAATGGGAATTCAGATATTATTTTTCTTCCTATATCAAATCTTCTTTTTACCGTTTTGAAGCAATTTTCTTGTTCTAAAACAATAAATATTAAATAAATATCTACTTTGTGACAAAAGTTGGCTACTATTTCTGTTACTTACATGACTAGATCTTACTTTGGTTCATTAAAGAATGCCACATTGGGGTTGCTACATTTATTCATGTGGCATGCGTTACTAATGCAATACGTTCTGCGACTTATTGTAATATTACAAAATATATTTATAGTCCTCTTTCATATAAAAACAGCCACAACCATTTCGCTTAGTTCATCTAGAGTATAACACAATCATGAACTCAAATTCAGGATTCTACGAATGTACATACAACTAAATGACATTTATATTTACAAACTGTCCACTGCTGTCCACGTCTGTTGTCTGTCTACAAACGACGTGTACCTTTAGTTAAAATCTGCGGTCGTTGCGTTTCCTATCTTTATGTCCCTAATCTCTGGTTTATAGCTTATCCTTATTTCATCCAACAGAAATCAATGTCCAGACTAATGATGAATAATAATAATGTACCTAATCCTCGACCTAATCCGAGATGTAATCTAAATATCATTAAATAGAGACTCGCTGCAAAAATAAGCACAAAAATGTTCACTGTCAAAATTTTACAAACATTGCTACTATGAAGACTAGTCTTCATAATTGCTACAAAAAGAGGCATTTTGTCTAAACGTCATTTTTGACAGTTTCGCAATTTAATCTATCGTGACGTTGACTTCGTACTACTTTTTGTCAAAGAAACTTGATGCTATTGTCATCCACATACACTCCCGTTAATCAACCCGTGTAGTTTTTGTTGTGCGCAAATTTATGGTAGACCTTTTTGTTCAATTACAGCGACTAAACATATCCATCATCTCAATCAATGTTCGGAACGAGAAGGCGAGCGACAAAGATGAGGAGGTAGAAGAACGAGAGGATCATGAGTGGAGCTGCTCCAGCTGGTGGGCTGCTGCAACAGCAGACCAACACCACCCAATTAAAGCGCCAAAAGTTAACCACTTGCAGGGACAGTGTACCGTCGGTGCACGGTCGACCGAACGCTTCCTTGAATATCAAGACTAGATTGAGCAATCATCAAAGAAACTTAAGCCTTGATTTTAGGTGAGTACCTTCAAACATTGTCTCTAAAGAAAACAGATTTAAGTATCTACTTATATAAATAGTTGGTTAACTAAATTTTCTTTAGTATCTTTATCCATTTCTCAAATTAAAATCCCAAATCGATATTTCATAAATGTATTAAATTTTATTATTAATACAACTAATTTCGATCTTAGTCGGTCATCATCAGGCCTACATATAAGAACGAGACAAATATATTAATAAATATCTTGGAATATTAGGAAAAAAAATTGCTAGTTCCGCTTTTTAATAAACTAATTATTGAACCATAATTCTAATCATTTGAATGATCTCTTTCTACCACATAATGATGTGGAGAGTTACTCAAATTCTAGTTACTCGAATTCTAATTTGATGATAGCCATTGTACCGAAGACTTTGACAAGATCAAAGGTTTCCTCCTATCTAAACCTGATTGATGTCTGCTGAATACCATATTTATTTCTGTTCATCTTTTTATTTACTCTCCTTTCATTTTTATAAGTTAAATAGTTCTAACTTGCCAAGATATGTACTAAAACATTTTCTCGTTCTTATATTGTAGACCCGATGATGACCGACTAGGGTCGAAACTAGTTGCGTTAAGATTAAAATTTGATGTTTAATTTATGTGGTATCGATTTGGTGTTTTGTTTATTCTTCTAAATTTTCTTTCATTGAAATCTTAGAACTGTATTTTAAATAAATAAAAAAACCAATATCAGTCCTAAAAGAAATAATAGTGAACAAACCAGGTTCAAAACGGTCTACAAAATCAAATTGCCAACTTTCAACTTGCGAAGAATAATATTTTTGTGAAAGTTCCATGAGTATTACTTTATAAAACTACCTTCTGCATACTCGCGTAGCAAGACAACGTATCCTTAATATCGAGCATATATTTCCATATTCCGCAATCTTTTTCGCCGTTTGCTTCCAGCTATCATTTTATTTTTGATTCTCGTATTTTCCGCATTAGACGTAGTGGCTTTCCTTGTCGACTTTCCTCAAGTTTGGAAAGAGAAAAAGGGGAAATAATTGCCTTCTATTCGGCTGCTGTTTATCGCGAAATTTTATCTTATGGAACACCCTAAATTTTTAGATAATACACAGAAAAAAAAGGTGTACTATATTCAAGATGAATGGGCTTATTTCAATGCTTTGTTGTGTTTGTATATCCGCAAGTAAAACTCGTCTTGATTTGAAATTCTAGTAATACTTGTTCAACAATAGCTAATAAGCCTTGCTTCAAGATTAAAATCAACTTGCCCTAACTAAAATACCTCTAATTAATTGAAGAGTATCTATTGCTCATTTGCAGTATTATGTACATCTTAAATATAATAGTTTTACGCTTCTTTTAAATATACTTTATTTATATTCATTAATACCTTGTTCTTAAATCCAATACAATTAAATTTGTTACAATAATAATATAAACTGTTCCAAGAAATGTTAATATTGGCTTTGATATAAATATATTGATTTTGGTTGAATTATAGGATAGTTTCATTGAAGAAAATAATAATCTTTAAATAAGAATACTACACTTGTTAATGCCTTTGTTTTTACATTTTCTCGCGGTACATTCATAAACAACAAAATCCGGCTCTTCATCAATGTAATCTCCAAATAGTGAGTCCTCACTTTCACAATTTCGTTTTTTAACTTCTCTTGTTGTCGGCCGTCTCAAAAGTGTGTTTGGTACATCAACTTTATTCTTGTTTTTTTTTAACAATGGGAGGAATATTATCATCAGAGCCACATTCGCTTAAAGGAGATTTTGATAAGCCACCTTCCTGCTGGCTATTATCATCAGAACTGTTGTACTGTGCGTGACTATCATCATTTTCTGTAGCAACTATTATTCCATAGTAGAATTTTCCACCGTAGTCCATTTTTACTTTTTTATTTTTTTCGAAACGGTTTGATCCATCAATAAGAGACAATTCTTTAATTGCAACAATATTTTCTGCTCCACCTACGGGGTCCAGCTATAACTAAGAATCATCCAAATACGAATGTCTTATATTAAATAGATCATTTCAACAATGTTCTTGTAATAACTTGTTATTGAGAAATACGTGTTATTCCACATCGATAATTTTGATTAATTGGATAGATTACATTTTAATAAAAATGAAAGTAGACGGGACAAACTTACTGATTTTAATTTTTAAAATTTGCCTAATATTTGCGATCTAGTTTTTTATGACAGGTATTTTTAAATATTAAATAATTTTATTTACAACCGCATAATATTGTTTATCCTTTTCATTTTTTTTGTACACTTCTTTTTTGTTTCATTATGTTGTTTTTTATTATTTTACTTTATTCATCCATCATTCTGTTAAATTAATTTACTTGTCAATTTTTTCATGCAGGGCATTTACTTATTTTATTAGTTTAATATAAAAAACGATGTATTGTACAGTTGTATTCATAAAAAAAATACACAAATATTAGAATGAGAGAGATCTTGTAAAATTTGCTTAAAACCATATTTTTTACCTGTCAACCGAAAGGTGAATTCGAAGTTTTATGGAATGTCAATCGATTATTATTTTTTTAATGAAGTTTTTGAAGCATTTTATTAGGTAATTAGCTGTAGATAAAGTATAGTATCCAACTCTCATGTTATTATAATTGCTATTAACATCATTATACGCAAAAATGTTTTCTTTACGTACCTAATAAATTCCTCGAATAAAGTAAGATTTTATGGATATTTTATAGAAATTCATCCATAAATTTAAATTTTTTTAAGTAAATTTAGATTTTAATTTCGTATCATAGAATTTTATACTCTGCTTAAAAATTTTATAGTAAAAAGCTATAAAGAAACTCTAATAAATCAAAAACCATTCTTCTCTAAATTATATGCAGGGGTTACAACAGGAAATGGGAATTTGTCAACTGTAAATAATTATTGCTTTGTGTTGCTGTATTATGGTCATAAATATCTCCGGAAGAACCATCATAAAATCGAAATTCGTTGATAGCAAACGTGCTTGTAAATAAATACACATCTCTGGAATGTTAAAAATGAAAACAAATAGAAACACACTCCCAGCAAACATTTTCTATAACATTAGTTATAACTCGACTTTGTTAAAGACGAATTTACTTATTGAGGTAATTATTACGTAAAATTGACTAGAAAAATATACCTCTAATGTAAATTTACCAAACGGTTTTAATTTATATTTAAATTTACGTAAATTATACCAAGAAATCTACCTTTTACACAAATCTGCTTAAAAGTAACTTTAACCATATCAACAAGGGAAAAACTACTAAAAAAAATAACCAACAATTACTTCAAAGTTAAATTTCCTTTGTAGTAAAATTAGGTGCCATATTTAGGTAATATCTACCTGTTTGGCAACTAAAAATCGTCTTTATAGTAGAATATCCAACTAGGTAGATTTGGTTAAAAATTCTACATAATTTTATGCCTCCATAGTAACCTATTTGGCCGCTTTTATTTACTCTCCTTTAAAGTAATATTAGATCGTAGCAAAATTCTACCTGTTTATCTACCTAATTTCAACCAAATAGTCGAATACTCATTTAGTTGACCTATAAGTCATCTTGAAGAAATATTTATTAACTTTGTTGTAGCAATTACCTGAAAAATCTACCACAAACTAAATTCGACTAAAAACCACCAATTTAAAAAGAGTCATACATGACCTATTTGTAAAATTTATATTATTTAGGTTATTTTAACAATTAGGTTGTTCAGTTATTATTCTATTCTATTATTCTCAAGAATTTCGGCCATTTTAAAAAAACCATTACAGTCGTAATCTTAATTTACGTGTGGTGTAGATAGAGCTTTAAATGAGTGCGAAAAATAATTAATAAAATGAGTTCGAAAAATAATAAATCATATTGTTATACTTCCGATTTTTATCGTAAAGTGAAACGTCTAAAATCTCAAGTGCAGAACAACGTGACCTAAATATGTTATATTTACCTATAGGTAAATTTTTTATAAAACCTATAAGTTATTATTTCTTTAAATAGGTAAAATTGAAGTTAATTCAACTTAGTAAAAAGGTATTTGTAAAATACGTAGATTTCCTTAGTCATAATAACTTTTAGGTCGAATTCACCCAATACGCCATATTTTCTTAACGTAACTGAAGTACGATTCCAAATTTTAAATTTTTAAAATGACCATAACTAGAACATACGAATGAAAATACCGAAAAACGAAACATTATTGATTTTCTAAAGTGATATACAACAAACGTAGTATAGTTTTAGCTCATAATATTATTATTATTTTTTTACACGATCATATTTTTTTCTTATATTTTTTTAATTAGAGAGTATTTTGGAAGGGCATTGTTATTTTTCTAAGTAGAACTGTTAACATGCACGACAAAATTTTCTTCGCATTAATTTCAACAAGCGTGAACTGTATATTCACCGCAATTACATTACATATATTTTTGTCAACGACATTTATTTATGTTCAATCTTTCATGTGAATTAGGTATATGTTTTAGTTGTGTTGGTGACTTGTTACAATATTTCTACTTATATATAGATAAAAATACCAAATAAGTATAAACTTTCTTTTCGTACACTTGGAGGCATACGTCATCTGCAAATATTTTGGTAGTTTCTGCCTAAACTTAGTTAAATCAACGTCGAATTAACGTTATACTGACGTCAAATTTCCCTAGAGAGGTATTACTAACCAAACGTACTGGGCTACTACAATGTGGATTTAGATGTAATTCTACCTATTTTGGTAAATAAAACCAAATTTCGACGTCGTCTTATTCTCCACTTATGTCGAATCCACGTCGAGCCAACGTAAATTTTACTTAATTATGGTTAAATCTAATTTTGCGACCAAATTTATTATATATAATTTAGGTAGTATCGACGTCAAATTACACCAAAATGTTTGCTGGGCTTCCTCTTAATAACCCCTCTGCGTTCATTCAAATCGCGTGTGACACACCCCAAAAGTTTTTCGA